CTTGTACCTTGTTCCTCGTTAGTTCTGGTTCCGGATCCTGCTCATGCTCCTCGGTTTCATGATCTCTGCCTTTGCCCTCAATGGATCCCTCCTGTCATCAATTTGCCTGGTAACGACCCCTGCTTCACTTCCTGGTTTTTTGGCTCTTGGATTTACCCTCCTCGGCGCGACGCTTCATCGGATTACACGGCTCTCGACCCCTGCTCAGTTTACGRRCCCACGACTCAAGCCTGCTCCACGTAGTCTGGTAATTCTTTTGGTTTTGATCCTTGCTTACCCCTGGACCCAGCTCTTGCCTGTTGGACTCAAACACCAAACAATACAGAACGGTGACGACATCACACTGTCTCGGACCCTTTCTATCCAAATCAGTGTTTGTGTATGGAACACCCAAACGAACACCAGGTCAGTGGCTTTGTGTCTTCTCTCAGTCAAAGTTCACATTGACACTGTTAATAGATTTTTTTGTGTGTCCAGAAGTTCCAGTCCAGTTTGATGTCCTGATCCAGAACCACACCAAAGCCTTGCACATTAATAATAAAATCTGTAAAACTGTTTTTGAGTTTGGCATTAATTCAGAGTTCAAAAAACGGTTCTTATTACATTCATGTTTAAGGGGAATTCATCCAAAATGTGTTCTTTTTAGTKCAGAAAGGTGGATCTTTTGGAAAAACAGCAGCTCAGAAGGAAGTTGTAGCCAGTTAAAATTTACAGTATATGATAGATACCAGCCTGAGTTTTATGGTACGTTCCGTTTACATCGTATTCTAGGAACTGGTAAATGGTAGTGATGCCATTTCCCAACAAACCATATGAAACTACATTCCATTTAGCCGACAGGTGATTGTATTGTTGCTGCTAACCTAGCTACAACACTGCTACAATATAAACAATGACAAAAAGAGAGCTCTGCTATTTGTGTAATGCAAATAAACATTGATTTTAACACGTACAGCATAGCACAGAAATCACACTACTTGTGCGAGTGATTAAACATGCACAAAAAATTAAGCAAGATAATTAATAGTAAAAGTTACGGAGTTAACTTTTTAAAGTTGAGACTAGCCGCCATCTTGAAATCGAAACTGGGGGCAGTTTCATTTCTTCCACTTYACGAGTGGAATATTATCACTGGAGGGGGCGTTCCAGTTTAAATCTACCAATGGGAACTGGGAAATTACCACTTCCCATGACTACTGGGACACAGCACTACTTGGTATCAGAATCCGAAAGGAAAACAGTGGCATCAAACATCACTGYTTGGCTCCACCTGGACTAGCTGTTAGCTCATCAGTCAAGTCAGAATTAAAGGGGCAATATCATGTAAAATAAACTTTTTTGAGCTTTATATCATGTTATAATTTTATACTCTCATCAAAAAGATACTTTGACTCATTCATGCATGTTTGAGAAATCCTGCAGTGTTCTGAGACAGCCAGGCAGAGGAGCAAAAACGACTGGCTGGGACTAGAACCGCCTTTTGGGATCATCTCCTCCTCTGGGCTGTGTCTCCGAACTGAGCCTCCTCAACACAGAGAACACACACCCACCCACGCCCACGGCCCGCCCCGCCACTCCGGCAGCACAACCAACAAACACCCAGTGAAAACAGTGTCTGCTGAGCTGCCAATACTACTTCTCAKTGCAGCCAAGGAAACTACACCAAGCTTCAGCACCCCGCCCGTAACTCCTGCAGACTGTCAGCAGGAACAAAGGAAACGACGAACACCGGTGAAACTGCGTCTGTAGCTCCAATACTAACAGCTTCTCATTTCAGTCCTTTTTGGATTAAACGCCRTTGTCACCAGCACAGGTAAGGTAAAAAACAACTCATGCTGTTTTGTTCACATCGTTGTTTGGTCTGTGTGTTAAGATTTGTAACTTATGATCAGTATGTGTGTGCATGTGGTGTGAGCGACTGAAATAATCTCACCAGCTGTCCTCTCTGTAATYGCTCCGGTTCTTTAGAAAACGTACTTTCTGGTCCAACAGTAAGGTTCAAATGTATCCTGAGATGCAATTTTCCAAAACTGACCTTGTATAATGTTGCTGCATTTTAAATTATCATTACAACAAAGCATGCTACGACGCTCCAGGTTGTCAACAAGAGAGAAGCGGCTGTGATGAAGTGCTGAAATGGGCGTGACGGGATCTGAAGGAGGTTTTTAAAGAGACAGAGGCCAATTTCAAGGTGTTTAGAAATGGAAATGAGTGAGAAGTCAAGTTTATTTCTGATTTAAACATAAAAATAACATAATAAAATTTAAACATAATATTACCTCTTTAACCYCTTTTCTCCAAACTGAGGCTGTATTGCTTTTAGATTCCATAATAAAATAAAGATGTGACGAGTTTCCCTCTACAGGGAAGTGACTGTATCTCAATCTTTTTCACAATCCACAGCCTTGAACTACGCAATAAAAAAGTATTATATTTTTTTATTTTTTCTGCTTTCTGGGGTTAATAAATAACTTGACGTCATTAATCTAAGCTCAGGTGCTGCTGAGTGAACTGAATACATCTGTGAGGCACCCTGACCTACATACCTCCATCCACATAGAGCTTTATTTCCTGAGTAAAATGAAGAGTACAACATGCTGCCATCTCTCTCCTCTCTTTGAGCTCATCCTAAGGCACCACCCAGTCTAATTCCATCTTGTATCTCGGCGCTGTAGGAAAAAAAAGACGAGGGGAAAAAACAGTCATAAACACACCAGATTAGGTCAGAGTTGGTTTTATAACCACTCCATGACCTTTCTCCCCCCCCCTCTGTTTTTTTCACCCTAATGTTTCCCTGTATTCCCTCTCTTCCCCTACTGCATGCTCTCTTTGCTCTCCACATCATTCTTGTCTTCTGTTTGGCTTTGCTCTCTGTCCTCAGTGCTCTGTTTATGTGCTCTGTCGTACAGCTCTTTAAAAGGTCCCACTGTACCTCTAAACTTCACAAGTAGGCTACCTCACTCCTTGTATTTCCCTTTCTCCTTTTCTTAGGTTTATCTGTTCCCTCCCCCTACCCTCTTGTTCCCTCTGAGTTTTATTTGTTCGTTTTTCCACATTCTAGTCACCACCTCTCCACAGCATGGTGTCTCAACCTGGTAAAAACCACATTTCACAGCAACAACTTAGTACTGTGTACAGATTGACAAAGATAGCTTTTGTTCTGGTGGTTAAAACCAGAAATAAAATTTCCATTTATGGGTTTTATGGTCTCTTTTGTCTTTTGGTAATTTTTTAAAAAATAAATATGTCAATAAACCATGACAAACGTGTATTATAATGTGAATGGATTGATGTAATTTGGAAAACCTCCTTTAGTGAGTTGTTTCGGTTCGTCTCCCTCTGACCCTGTTAGGATTGCAGAGATCACAGTTTGTCAGGTTGTTTGACCTTGTCTTGATCACAGTTATAGTCTATGCATGAGGCTAGCCAAGCCAAGCTAGTCAACCAAGCCACACCAGTGTGTGTGGACCTCGTATGACATATCGGCATGTTGTCTGAGTGTGTGTCTGCACGCCAACACATTTGCTGTGTTCAGGGGCTGCATCCTCCTGAATGCACATTTTTTGGCCACTTTCATCACTGCCCCACRCCGAGTACTGTCCCACTTCGTAGGCTTCTTCTCATGTGGCCAAGGAATACGGCCCACGCAGTGTTTTATAAAGTACCTCAAAGTGATACTTGAGTAAAAGTACAAGTATATTATCACAAAATTACTTTGGTAAAAGTTAAAGTCTTCTCTAAGAATATTATTTGAGTAAAAGTCTTAAAGTATCAAATTTTTTTGTACTTATCAAAAGTAAATTTCTGACATAAAATATGCTTAAGTATTAAAAGTAAAAGTACTGAGTAAAAATGAGCAGTTAGATTTTCCAAAATACATTAATTGGAAGGTGACCTCTCCAAAAAATATTTTTTTCTAAAAACGTGCAACTGTGATGGAGTGTGTACAAATTATTAACAGTATCAGAATGGTATACATTTAAAATCAGAATCAGTTTTATTGCCATTGTCAATGAACAGGATTCACAGACTATATTTGCTTCGGTGTAAAGGTGCAATAAGTATAAAATATAACCAATAAAGAAAATATAAAGGATGAAGGAAAAAATATAATAAAAATATATAAAACATTTGTATACCAGTTCAATACAGTAATCAGATCAGACTTCTCATTTATACTTCTCATCCAACTACAATTAAATTCACTCTATCCTGGATGCATAWTTTTKTAGGATAGTATTTTTTAACACTAACAAGCCAAAACAAAATAGGAGAAATGACTTTCTACTTCTTACCTTTTTTTAAAAAAATGTAAGAAGTAGAAAGTACAGATAATTGTGTAAAAATGTAAGGAGTAAAAGTAAAAAGTAGGCTGAAAAATAATTACTCAAGTAAAGTACAGATGCCAAAAAAATCTACTTAAGGACAGTAACAAAGTATTTGTACTTAGTTACTTTACAACTCTGGGCTCTCATCACAAACTGAAGAATATTTTTAAATGTAAGTTTACCATCTTAGCTGATGAAAATTTATTGCAATGAGACGTTAAATACAAGTACTGAGACTGGAGCAAAACCTAAATTATGAAGTTTTTTATTTATTTATTTACATGCAACATGTTGATTGTAAAGTTATTCCTCCAGTGAAAAGACGTGTAAATATATGTTCAAATGCATTTGAAGTCTAAAGGCATGTGATATAAAACCGATCACTATGATAACGAGGTAAGTGTGGTCATGCAAACACATGTCAAGCAAAGGCTAGATCGTCTCATTTCACAGCAGTTTTATGCAGCCTGCTCGGACTGCATGGACTGGGGTCTGTGTGGTCTTGGTAGGCTGCAGCCCCTGAATTGAGACACAGCTGCCAACTTTGGGGACAAAATGTCTCTCAAGTTCAGCCATGGCTAATTTAAAAGTTGTACCTTGTTCTGGTAGAGTGAGGAACAGATGCTGATTCTCTGGTATTAAGCAGTGTAATACTGTATATAGTTAAAAAAGGTAATTGGGTCCTCTGGATGGGTTATTTTTTTAATGAAAGGTGTCATCTCTCCTCCAAAAGACTCTTATCTGATGGTTCCTACACATCAACCAGAAATGCGCATTGCCATTTAACTTCCATTATTGCAGGCAAACACTAGACAACAACGATCACGATGACTTTCAATCAAACCAAAACAAAGTACTGTATATTGATACTCTTAACCAATGTGCAAGAGAAAGGTATGTCCAGAAAATTGCTGCTGTTGTGATTGACCATGAAAAGGGAATATGTTATGTAAAAGTTGATGATCTCTTATTGTAACATAAGTAGTGCCCCCAATGGAGGAGATTCTCTGCCTGGAACAAGTGGATGCRTACATTTAATAATAATAATAATAATTTTATATAATTTTATATAGTGCTTTTTGAGACCCTCAAAGACGCTTTACAATTTTTCATGCATCATTCATTCACACATTCACACACTGATGGCAGTAAACTACATTGTAGCCACAGCTGCCCTGGGGCAGACTGACAGAGGCGGGGCTGCCATGCTGCRCCACYGGCCCCTCTGACCACCATCAGTAGGCAAGGTGGGTGAAGTGTCTTGCCCAAGGACACAATGGCATGTAGGCATGGCGGGGAGTTGAACCTGTGACTTGTGGGTCCCAAAGCCAGCTGCTCTACCACTACACCACAGCCACCCCATTTAATGTTTTCATGRCTTTGTGAAGGTTGTCTGAATTCTTCATGTGAATAACAAAGATCTGGTGACTGGCAGAGTAAGTAACTACATMATACACGTATACATGTTCCTCATTGATCGCAGATACAAGCTACATTAACTAAGCTACTTTAGTTTGTACCAACACATGGTCATTGTTGTCGTGAAGAAGACCACTAAGCCATAGGTGTTTCCAAGCCAGACTTGTGTGCTGACTTTTGGCACTCAGCTTCTTCACATGAGATCTTTTGCGTTTCCTGATTTTTGGAATGAAGTAAAAAAACTGCACTTTGTTGAACATCTGCACGCAAAACAACCATTGTGATTTACGTCAAAAATACTATTTGATGATCAAAGTCTCAGACGTGTCTGAAGCATGCCCCTGTGATGATGGTGGTTAGCGACAAAGTGCCCAGATGTGTTACGTCACGTGACAGCTATGTATCAGCTTTCATCTGGCCATGCGTCTCCGGTAGTATTTATGACAATTATGTAGCTCTCAAACATTTTTGCCACGCTGTAAAACAGTATAGGATGTTAACATCCTTTGTGATTCAGTGCTGTGTTTCTTAATGCAATAAATAAATAAATATATAAATAAATAAATAAGTAAAATAAAAATCACTGTACCTTTAAAGATCTGTACTCTGAAAAGCAACCTTTTAATAAATCATATTGCAAACACATTTGTTCCCTTACTGAGTCTGTAGGAACTGGATAAAGCCCTACAAGTTCAGGCCATTAACCATCAATGCAAAATTATAATTTCTTTAAATCAAACTAAATCCAAGTAAACATCTATTTCTGACTGATTCAGCCAAAACTATGGTGTTGTATTAGTTTGCCTTTTAACTAAGACAAAGCAGATCATCAACATTTTCAAAATAAACAAATATAACATCCTCCTATGGACAATGATCTTTTTTGAAATGAAAATAAAATAAAATAAAATAAGCCAACTATTTAATATTTTCCTTGTGTGATTCTATCTTGTGGAGGACCCATGTTTKCCATATTCGTTATGTATTTATATCAGTAACAAACTAAGGAATTATGAAAGTTTTTTAAACATTTGTCTGAATGGTAAAAATATTCTAGTGTAGTAAC